CAACTCGAGCCAATAGCAGAAGCATCAACTTTTGCAGCTTCGCGCGGACTTCTCGGACTGGCCCTGGGCTCCCCTCCCTGGCCAGGGGCGGCGCCGGAGGCGCCGCCAGGGGGATCCTGCACCGATCTGAGAAAACCTCGTGGAGCTCGGATAGTTTATGGTTACGCTGGATTTTGTTTATCTACATCGACGCCTGCGCTGTGTACGGCGTCTCGGCGGCGAGCCCGGGGGGAGTGAGAAGGGGCGGGTCTTCTCAGAAGGCTCGGAAGTCCAGCCGGGCCTTTGAGAAGTTATCTAGGCCTTCCCCGGAGACACAGAGAGCTTCTCATAAGGCGCGGGGGTGTCTGAGAAGTCCTCGTCGCCTTCTGCTGAGAGGGCCTTCTCCTTCTCGCTTCCCCCCATCGCTCGCCGTCTGGGTAGGGTGTACGCATCGTTGGAGGCCCAACCCCCTCTCTCGACACGACCTGCTGCGCGCTTCGCCCCACCTCCCAAGGCTTCCCGAGCCCCCGCAGGCTCCTGCTTCTCCTCCTCCTCCTCCTCCTCCTCCTCCTCCTCCTTGTCCTCCTCCTCCTCCTCCTACTTGTCCTCCTCCTCCTCCTTTCCCTCCTCCTCCTCCTCCTCCTTCTCCTCCTCCTCCTCCTCCTGCTTCTTCTCCTCCTCGTCCTCCTCCTCCTCCTCCCTCCTCCTCCTCCTCCCTCCTCCTCTCCTCCTCCTCCTCCTCCTCCTCCTCCTCCTCCTCCTCCTCCTCCTCCTCCTCCTCCTCCTCCTCCTCCTCCTCCTCCTCCCTCCTCCTCCTCCTCCTCCTCCTCCTCCTCCTCCTCCTCCTCCTCCTCCTCCTCCTCCTCCCTCCTCCCTCCTCCCTCCTCCCTCCTCCCTCCTCCTCCTGCTCCTCAGTCGGTCGGGGAGGGCCACCAAGGCCGCCGCGAGGGCCCCACGCTGCGCGAGAGCCCGCCGCGCCTGCCGCAGGGCTCCTGCGCGGGCCCTCCGCTGCTCGGCCCCCCGGGGGGCCCCTGCCGAGCTGGGCCGGGCCGTGGCCTGCCGAGCCCGGCCGCGGCCCCCGACGTCTCGGCACGCGGGGCCCGACTCTTCCGGGGTTCGGGCACGCGGCAAAGGGGGGGGGGTGATGGCCAGGGGGGGGGGATCTCATGGCGTGGGCCCAGATTTCACGGCGCGTCCTCTTATTTCATTGCGTCCCTGGCCCCCCCGCTGGGCCGCGCACATGCCGCCGGTCATGATTTGCACCCCCCCTCTTGGACACCCCCCTCTTGGCCGCTCCCGAGGCACGCAGGACTCGACTTTTCTCGGGTATAGCCTTAAGTCGGGCGTGTCCCTCTACAGGGGGAATATTCAAAGATAGTCAAAACATAGACCTTGGGCTATGTTTTGAGCGTGTTTTGGCATATTTTGAGTATTTTTGAGTATTTTTCATTTTTCGCCCAAGCTCCCCCTGTAGGGGGACAGGCCTAACCGAATGGTAGCGCCCTGGAGCCCCTAAACTGGCCAGGATCACTAAACCAGGTCTGCCGTAGCTGGTGTTTCTTTCCCAACCATCCTGTGGTGTTGGGTCTTCGTTTTGACGAGACGGTCCCCGCGTTCCTTTCTTCCTTCCTTCCTTCCTGGTTTGCCTATAGGCCCACCAGAGAATGTTCTAAGAACTTTTTGGTGGTCTGTACGAAATGAGATTCGAGCATTTCTGGCTGAGACTGTCTGGTTTGAGTTAATCGGGCTTGTCTGATGTTCTAGTCACATAGTTTTTTCCCAACCCTCCTACGTTGGATATTCGTTCTGAGTAGAGCACTGCGCGCGCGTCTCCTCCTTCCCGCCTCCCTCCTCCTCTCATCTTTCTTACCTGCCAGTTACATCGCTCCTTCTTGCGTGCCAGCTTGCCTCCTACCTGGTCATCCCTGCGGGGCTGCGATCTGCGAAATTGTCGCCACTATCGAGGGCTGCTGGGGGGTGCAGTGGGGTGACGTCTGACGCGGACCACCAGGAGACCTCGCCATCCCTGCTGGGCTGCGATCCGCGAAACTGTCGCCACCTTCGAGAGCTGCTGTGGGGTGCGGCGGAGTGACGTCTTACGCGGACCACCAGGAGACTTCGCCATCCCTGGGGGGGGTGCGATCCGCGAAACTGTCACACTGTTGGGGCTGCTGTGGGGTGCAGCGGAGTAACGTCTTACGCGGACCACCAGGAGACCTCGCCATCTCTGGGAGGCAGCGATCTGCGAAACCGTCGCCAGTTTCGAGGGCTGCTGGGGGGTGCAGCGGGGTGACGTCTTGCGCGCGGACCACTTTGCGACCTCGCCATCCCTGGGGGGCTGCGATCCGCGAAATTGTCACCACTGTTGAGGGCTGCTGGGGGGTGCAGCGGAGTGACGTCTTACGCGGCCCACCAGGAGACCTCGCCATCCCTGGGGGGCTCCGATCTGCGAAATTGTCGCCACTTTCGAGGGCTGCAGGGGGGTGCAGCGGAGTAGCGTCTTACGCGGACCACCAGGAGACCTCGCCATCCCTGGGGGGCTGCGATCTGCGAGACCGTCGCCACTATCGAGGGCTGCTGGGGGGTGCAGCGGAGTGGCGTCTTACGCGGACCACTTTGCGACCTCGCCATCTCTGGGAGGCAGCGATCTGCGAAACCGTCGCCAGTTTCGAGGGTTGCTGTGGGGTGCAGCGGAGTGACGTCTTACGCGGACCACCAGGAGACCTCGCCATCCCTGAGAGGCAGCGATCTGCGAAACCGTCGCCAGTTTCGAGGGCTGCTGGGGGGTGCAGCAGGGTGACGTCTTGCGCGCGGACCACCAGGAGACCTCGCCATCCCTGGGGGGCAGCGATCTGCGAAACCGTCGCCAGTTTCGAGGGCTCCTGGGGGGTGCAGCGGAGTGGCGTCTTGCGCGCGGACCACCAGGAGACCTCGCCATCTCTGGGAGGCAGCGATCTGCGAAACCGTCGCCAGTTTCGAGGGCTGCTGGGGGGTGCAGCGGGGTGACGTCTTGCGCGCGTCCCACCACGAGACCTCGCCATCCCTGGGGGGCAGCGATCTGCGAAACCGTCGCCAGTTTCGAGGGCTCCTGGGGGGTGCAGCGGAGTGGCGTCTTACGCGGACCACCAGGAGACCTCGCCATCTCTGGGAGGCAGCGATCTGCGAAACCGTCGCCAGTTTCGAGGGCTGCTGGAGGGTGCAGCGGGGTGACGTCTTACGCGGAGCACCAGGAGACCTCGCCATCCCTGGGGGGCTGCGATCTGCGAGTCCGTCGCTAGTTTCGAGGGCGTTGACGTCTTACACGGCCCACCAGGAGACCTCGCCATCTCTGGGAGGCAGCGATCTGCGAAACCGTCGCCAGTTTCGAGGGCTTCTGGGGGGTGCAGCGGGGTGGCGTCTTACGCGGACCACCAGGAGACCTCGCCATCCCTGGGGTGCTCCGATCTGCGAAATTGTCGCCACTTTCGAGGGTTGCTGGGGGGTGCAGCGGAGTGGCGTCTTACGCGGAGCACCAGGAGACCTCGCCATCCCTGAGAGGCAGCGATCTGCGACACCGTCGCCAGTTTCGAGGGCTGCTGGGCGGTGCAGCGGGGTGACGTCTTGCGCGGACCACCAGGAGACCTCGCCATCCCTGAGGAATGCAGCGGAGTGATTCGTTTTTCTGCTGCTTGAGCGTTGCTTCGAGCTCCGGGGTCGTCGGGAAAGAAGCAGAGACGCTGGCGGGCGAGCCAGGCCCCGCTCGCTTCTCACAAACCAGAAAAGCAGGTTTGATTTTTTGTCGAGCGCCGCGGCGACATGGCGCAGCAGCGCTGCATTTTTAGAGCGTAGTGCCCCCAAAGGCAACACTCTTCCTCGTCGGTCTCCTCCCGTCACTTTCTTCGTCGTCTTCTGCCCTCTTGCTACCTTCCCTCTGCTGCTGCCGTGCTGACGGTGCGGCCCCACACGCGTCCTTTTCCTGCCTTTCTTTCCCGCCCGCATGTCTTCCTCAAGCCTCTGCCGTCGTTCCTCGTCCTTCTGCTGTTGTCCTGTAAACCGTGCCACGTGAGCGCGTCCCATGTAGCTTGCACAACATGTGACGGCCGTTGCACTGCCAGTGTCATTGCAAGTGTGGGCCAACTTCTCTGTTGACTTGATGTAATAGGTTGGGTATCTCACAGGGTAATTATTGAGACATTTGTTGGTCCTGAGAACATTTCGTGGTAGGCCTATCGGAATGCCAGGACGGTCGGTCTCTGCTCAAGTTTTGGATCTCATAATATTGGGGGGTGTTTACTTTTGCGGTGGGTTTCACGGGCCTCATCAATCAAGATTGTTTGGAGGTCTCGATGCTGGACCCGTTGCGCCAGACGCGGTGTCAAACACGGTTTGGACCCGCCCCCCGCTATTGCGAGACTCGGGGTATCCAGGCTTCGAGGTCAGAGGTTTCTTGACGTTTTCGTCGGTTCTGGAAGGTTTGCCCGGGTCGGGATGCCCTTTGGCAGCTGCGCCTCGCCGAGAGCGTTCCAGCGGTGTCCGGATCGTCGCAGATGGCCGTCTGAGGCCCGAGTTGTGGCCCGAAAGCCACCAGGGGCATCGTTAAGTGGGGATGGGCTCAGGGAGGAATTGATCGCCGATTGGGGCCTGATAGCCCACCCCGCCCAGCAACGTGCGGATGTGCTACCCGTGGCATTCGCCGATCTATCGATGATGTATCGCCGATTCCCCGTCGATGTTGCTCCCCCCTCAGCCAGTCCCTGTCTCCCCTTTCACTTGAGGAGGAAGATACGTCGGCGTGCCATGTCTGAAAGTATGCGCTCGTCTGCGGTGTTTGACACAGCTTCGGCAGGTGGTCTCGCGTCCAATGCCTGCTCAGACTCGAGCGCGCAGTGAGGCGGGAGTGAGCCAGCAGCAGTCCAGACAACTCACACACTTGAGACAGCGCAGACATTTGCACACATGCCGAGATGCCATCAATGTGTCGCCCGGTGCCGACTGGGACTGGACCAAGCACGTCTGATGTCGAGACATGTTGAGGGTGGGAGGACGAGCATCCTTCCCCGCGAACTCCGGCGATGCCATTGTTGGTGACAAGAAGATCGACTGGGACAGCATGACACGTGCAATCGGGAAGGATAAGTAGCTTTCCAGACAATGTGTTGAAGGTGTCGCGAGATTTTTTGTCATTGATGCACTCTGTTCCCCCCCCTCCCCCGCTGTTCTTTCTCTTCTCCTCTACTACTTTCCCATCTGTCGGGTACACCCGTGCCTTTTTATTGAGCAAATGCAGCGGCTGTTCTTGGGTCCTACTGCGCCTGGAAACACTTGCTGTGTAGTGTACGCGTATGCATCTGATGTTGAGGACGGAGAGGAGGAGTATTTTTGATGCGAGCGAGAGGTTGGAGGAGGGGGATGTCCAGAGACAAGCAAGGATGCATTATCGATGCTGCACTGCACACTTAGGTCCCATATCCCCAAATCAGTCCCTATGCTTCAAGAAGAACGTCCTTTGGGTCTGTCATACAGGCGCATTATGGGCACGAATCTTTGCAGCCGTAACCATCTGACTAGGATCGTAACGTGCGGGGATGCGTTGAGAGAGGACATCATTTTGAGCATGATCCACCTTCCACGCGCGCAGTTACTGAGCATTGTTATTGCTGCTCCTACAGCCTGAGGCAGTTCGACACGATATCAAGTTTTCGAGACTGACTCTGCTCCATATCGTTAGTGTAGGTGTCGTATAACCAGGGGAGGTCTCAAATGATAGTAGCCTCATTTTCAAGACGGGACGCTTTCCATCAGTGTAGCCGTTGCGCTGTTCAGACGAGCGTCCTCGGCGCATAGGCGAAAGTCACATGTTGAAACGTTGGCGGCCCTCGATGCGCATGTCTGTGTGAGCTTCCAGGCTTCAGGATTCGAAGTTGTGGTGTGGGGGGAGGGGGGTCGGACGAAACGCTTGGCCCGTCCGCCATCTCGCCTGGGTTGTGCCACGGGGGCGGGCTTCTTGTCAGAGGCGGAGGAGGCGGAGGCGGAGGCGGAGGCGGAGGCGGAGGATGAGGAGGAGGAGGCGAACTTGCCACGACGCACAAACACCACATCGCACAGCATACAATACGGACGTTTTTAGCTACAACACGGTCACCGTTCGCCCCCCATCTTAAGCAAGAGAGAGCCATCCACATTGCATCTCTCTCCGACTCATTCCAGCGCCTACACGATCTACACCAGCGCAGGGCAGCGTGGCAATACGCCAAAGCTGGATTACGCTACGGACCAACCACCAGAAAAAAAGACAGCTACATCATAGGCTATGCCTTTTTTTCACTGACGCCGCGGGCAAGATATTGGAAGATGGCGAACAACAAGGAGACGAATTCACCAGGCACCACACTCACCGACAACAGCGGCATACCCCAGTACTACAACATACTCGGCACACCAGTCGCACCATCCTCATAAGATTTCGTGTTCACGCTACCACGCTACCATAGGAAGCGTATCGGCGCAAACAACCAGGGCGCGACAGCATTACAACTGATTGACGTAAAGCAACGCCAGCTAGCACGTCTCGGCTCGTCCACCCGTTGCCCCTTGGGCACCACTCACCCCGCAGGAACCGTGCTGTGCACGCACGGTGCAGCCACACTGCAATGAGGAGTCCGCGGCCTAAAAGCACCCCCGTGCGTAAATTCCAAAGAACTTCGTACCTCAGCACAGCCGACATGTAGCGGGGCCCTCTGGGGCCTGGCGCGTGGCTTTTTCAACGACAGCTCGTCTGCGTGCGTGCGTGGATTGAGCCCTGGCGCGCTAGAGTGTCGCGCGCGCCCGTCTGCTCCAGCGTAGCCAGAGCGAATCGACTGCGGATCTCTGTGAGCGTGTTCGTCTGGTCATGCATTGCGCGAGTTTCAGCTCCTGTGTTTTTTTGTCGCCTGTATGGTGCGCCCGCCCCGACGCGGGCGCCTGCGTCTGCCCTGGTCGGCTTGGGTGGGCCCTGGTCGGCTTGGGTGGGCCTCGTGCTTTTCATTTGCTCGGCTCTTCCCTCGTTCTTCGCGCGCGCGCGGGCATCCAACGGGATCGCATGCAAGATGCTGGTGGCGCGGGCCCTTCCTCCGCCTACGTAGTTTGTTTCTCTGGTTGCGCGCGGCAATGGCAGCCCGACTTCTGCAGCGCAAGCGAAACAAGACAGAAACAAACAAAATATCTTCCCGCTCCTCGCGCCCCCCGGCTCCCCTCCCGCAGCAATCCCCCCTGGCAGACCACCTTCGTCCCTCCCTCCCTTCTCCGCTCTTCCCCGTCATCCTCGCCTTTCCAAAAATAGTGGCTGGCTGCTTCGCTTCAGTGCATGTTGCCACGGTTCCCTGATCAAGGCATCTCGCCTGGGCATCGTGTTTGGATGGGTTGGCGAAGGGCGCACATAGAATCTTCCGACCTTGCCTTTCGCTGCTACCCGATATGCTGCCACCAAGCCGTCGGCGGAGGCCGTGCAAGGTGTGTTGGAGAGTTAGAGGGCGGAATTACAAGATTGAGAGCACATCAACATCACCTCCCCTCCTCCATCCTCATCGTTTGCCTTTCTGTCATGACGCCGAATTCATTTATAGTTGCATGTTTGCCACGCATTTTCGTTCATTAACAACAGGGCCAGCGGTCCACGCGCAATTTGACAGGCCATGGGCTGTTCCGTCGTAGGTCACAGCCGCCATCCTCATGTCTGTCTCCTCCACATATCCCTTCCTTCTTCTTCTTCTTCTTCTTCCATTTTCCCTTTTCATGATTCCCTCTTTTTTCCTCTCTCCTCTCTCCTCTTTCCCTCGTCGTCCTTGTGGCCTCCTCCCTCCTCCCTTCTCCCCCCTCCTCCTCCTCCTCCTCCTCCTCCTCCTCCTCCTCCTCCTCCTCCTCCTCCTCCTCCTCCCGATGCCATTTTGGCTCAAGATGGCGACCTGGGGGGCTGTCCAGCCTCCAGGCCGAAGGGAAACCTCTGGACCGAGGACAGTTCCCAGACGGGCGTCGGTTGCGCGCGCGGCACTGCTGCAGCCATGGGGAGTGGCGGCGGCGGACGCGGGGCGGGCAGCGCCTGGTCGGGGACCCCGAATCGCCAGAGGGTGCCACCGTGGAAGAGGAGCAGCAGTGGCAGTCGCCCTCCTCGCAGCAGCTACGTGGTGTGTGACGGGTGCAGCAGATGGCGCTACTGCAAGAATATCACCAGCAGGGGCGACCTCTGCATATGCGGCAAGAATCTCGCCTGCCTCGTCCCCGACGGACATGTTTTCCGTGACGAGGATGGTGGGTGGCTGGCAGCACAGCCCCAAGGAGGAACCTCGCCCAGGATCAGCTGGGCAGATGGTTGGCAGCCAGGAGGTGGTGCAGGTGGAAAAGGGCAAGGAGGCCAACGCCAGCCACCACCTCACGACAAGACCGTCGATCTCAAGGCCGCCGCCGCAGCAGTATACAGCAAGCTCAGCAAGGACGACCCGCTCAGGCAGCACTACGAGGACCTCTGGCCAGAGCTCGCCGCAGCCAAGCCACCAGCAGAACAACCAGTTGCTGGATTTAAGGCAGTGGAGGCAGCAGCTCGACGCTTGAACAAACTCCAGAAGAAGGTACGATCGGCAGGGGAGCAAGTGGAGAGTGCCCAGCAGTACTTGGCTGAGAGTGAACGCAAGCTTCGTGAAGCTATGGAAGCCTCCATTGCAGCTGAAGATGAGTTCGACAAGCTCAAGGCCACAGCCGGCAAGCAAGAGGCACCAGCTGAACCTGCAGCCGAGAAGCCAACTCTGGCAGCCCTCCTGGAGCAGTTCGAGCATGAGCCTGATGACTTCCACAAGTGGTCAGAGCCCGACAAGGAGGTCTGGCGGGCAGCAAAGGCCAAGGGCGAGCGTATGGCCCAGACGGTCAAGGAGCACGAGGAGGAGACGGCGAAGCACCTGCGACTTCTGGGGGAAGAGACGGCCAGGCACCAGGAGCAGCTGCGCCAGCTCGAGCAGGCCCGCGCCAAGCGCCTGTCAAAGAGCGGAGAGCAAGACCCAGAAGCAGCAGCAGCCCCACCAGGCAAGCGCGTCTGCGCCGCCAGCCCAGCCCCTCAGCGAGGTGGGCAGCTGCCGCGGCTGCGCCTAACGGCGCCGCAGCAGCTGCCCAACCAGAAGCAGCTGCAGCAGAACATGACAAAGCAGAGGAACGCCGAGCCAGAGTGGAGGCCCATATCCAGGAGGCGCGAGAGAAGGTCTCGCAGGCCAGGCGCGCCGAGACAGTCGTCGACGCAGAAGGGCAAGGTGACCACTCAGCAGGGTAGCCGCCCCAAGGCGAGCGCGAAGAAGGCTCGCCGCCCTTGCCACATCGACTTCTTCAATATCACGACCTGGGGCCCCCAGGCACAGGGCTACCTCATGGAGATCAACGGCACCAAGGACAGGGACATCATTGGCATCGCGGAGCACCGCCTCCGCCAGCCTGCGCAGATAAGCAAGGCAAGAGCGGCGCTCAGGAGGAATGGCATGCACAGCTACTGGACCAAGGCACGGCCAGGAGAAGGAGAAGGCACTCGAGGAGGAACGTGTGCCATCACGCGAGGATCCTTGGGCATCCAGGACAGGATCGCGGGTTTCGACGAGCACTACCTGCACGAGGACGGCAGCGACGTCACGGTGGTGATCTCCAACCTGCACAAGGTCCGCTTCGCAGTGGCCTTCGTCTACCTCGAGTGTGGGACGGGCTCTGGAGAGAGGAACGTCGACATCCTCTGCGACCTGCGGGAGAAGATGGCCGTCTGGGGAGGGCCATGGGCAGCGCTTGGGGACTTCAACATGACGCCGTCGGAGCTCAACAACAGCATCTGGCCCAGGGTGCTGAATGCTCAAGTAGCTGCGGCGGAGGATGGCGCCCCCGCGTGCTTCCCAGCAGGAGGCGAAGCCAGGTGCATCGACTTCGCGCTGATCTCGCAGGGCCTGGCGCCGTATTTTGACCAGCTAGAGCTGCTCAGGACCGTGCCGTGGAAGCCGCACATCGGCATCCGCTTGAAGCTGAAAGGGCGGCCTCTCAAGCTCAAGGGCAGGGTACTTCGCAGGCCAGCAGCCAAAAGCCACCGGTCGCAGTTGAGAGAATGCCGAAATCCAGAGCCGCT